TTAAATAAAAAAGAAGAAAGCGAAACTTTCAAACAAAGAGACTTAATATATATGTGTGTGTGCATGTGTGTATTAAATATTCTTTTTTTCCTGTAAATGAGAATGGATTAAAATAGATTAAAATTTTACTGAATTCGCATTTTAAATAACAAAACCTTTTTTGTTCAATTGAATTAAATTGGATTCAATTGGACTCAACTCGATTCAATTGGATTGAAAAAACTATATTTTCTATTCAAAATTTTAAATTGAGAAGTATTCACGAAGTACAGTAGAAAAAAAGCTGTATATTATTTTTATATTGAAAGGCATAAAAATATGCTTTATCCAATTCGTATAAATAAATAAAATGCATTCAGGTTGAAAAGAATTCATTTTAACGTTCGCGAATACGTATTTCTGAAAATCTGAATTCATTTCAATCTATTTTCGTTTACTGGATTATGGAGCCTCAATAAATTTTTTAAAGCAGCTTCTAATTGTAAGTCAAATTTGGAATAATTATCTTCATTTTCTTCATAATAATTTAAACAAATACATTTTTATTAATTAATAAAAGACATTACATTAGACTTAAAAAGAGACATTCACATCTCTCCATAAAAAAAGATTGTAACATTGAAAAATTCTATTAATTATTGTTAATCGCTATTACTGTCGTGAATAAGTTCGAGTAATCTGAAGAAAGAAACATCAACCACTACGCCACTCTCCTGTGCTTGGATTTTACTGCTACATCATCATCATCATCATCCATACGAAGGATCTCTCGCTTATCTAATTATAATCAATTATATTAATCAGTGCCGGTTAATGTACGCTCACGAAAAATGCGACACGCAACCACGGCGAACCTGTCGGACTTGACACGGAACTCAATGGATTGATGGACGTCGATAGAGATTTTACGAGCGTCTCGATCACGGTTCGCGGGCATCGTAAGGCGGCATTCGTTTCGGCTTGAAGAATAAGACATCAAGAAATTAAGGCGATGATGTCGCGAACTCTGCAGCCGATTGAGGAATCCAACCCCGGCAAGTCATCGGGTAAGACCTTATTCACTGATAGTTGATAAAACGATTTTTCAATTAATTTTCTTGAAATCACTGATCTTAACCCTTTGATGCCACTCTCAGTATGACATACCCGAAGTTTCTTTTACTGTGTTTTTTTGTATATTAAAACTTTTTTATTAATAAAGTTATTATACATTTGCTTGTTGTCGTTATGTTTCTTAATGTTTAGCGTTTCAATTAAAAAAAAGTTTGTTATAATATTCATTTTTATTTCACACAGTACTTCCCAATAGACAAATTGATGTTAATGACGTTATTTTTACATCAAAATTAAAATAAATAACGTCAGCTTATTTGCTGCGCTTTGTGGTAAATACTTGACAAAACGTATACTTACACATAATAGTGACACTGAAGGTTTAGCAACAATTTTTCAGGGAGAATTTCCTTGGAAAATTTACTTTAAGTGAAGTGAAGGTTTTTAAGGATATTAAAGGTAATTTTTAAGTTTTTTTAGCTTTTTTTTTTAGATTTTTCTTAAATGAGTTTTAAGATTACTATTAAAAAATAATTTAATGTTCAAATTTACTCTTTATATTTCTTAGCTTATTTCTTAAATTTTCTCTATACAAAGTTTCGAGTTTTTTTTTTAAAAGGTAAATTTTTCCAAGAATTATATCTTTTAAGAAATTCAATATCTATTAATAAAGCAAAGATTAAATAAAATAAAGATTAAATCTTTTACATAGGCTCTCTTATTAAAGAAAAAAATCAGATTAAATTTCTTTCTAAAATACAAAAAACGTTAATCAATTCTTAAAATCAGATTTACAATACTCGTTTACTCTCATAAAGAAGAAATTACAGCAACGATAAAATTAATATTGATGAAAATAAAATCTGAATTTTTTAAAAAATTTAAAATATTTTTACTTTTCTTTCGCGAAATGTGATTTTAATGATGTTTAGAATATCTCTAAAGTTCTTTTCATTTTTCAAATATATAAGATTTGCAGATAGAGAAGAATCTTCTGATAAAAAAAGCACGTAAAGAGTTTTCTTATTCTAATTCTACAACAACAGCCGCGCTTTCCCTTTTCTTTTCCACGGAAGTGAAAAGGATTGGACGCACACCGTGTTGTTATCTGTTACACGGTACCTGCCCACGGCTCTTATTTCCAACTCTTGTTTTCGAAACAGCCCGCGATCACTCGTGCGTAATTGAATGCATCACCTAAGTGGATCCGACGAAACAAGCTGCGAACGTTGAGCAAAAATTTCCGCTTCACGACACTTTGGTCAAAGTTTTGAAAAGCTGCGAAGCAGAAGCGGAAATTGACATCTGCATATCGAGCGAAATTTCGTCATAAAGTTGTCTTATTGATTAGGTTTGGGTTTCAATGGCTTTATTAATATTATTTCATCTAAATTAGTGTATAAATTCTAATAATTAAAAAAAGATCGAATCTCACTTACAAGACATGGACTAGTATGAATCTAAGGCACTGCGCACAATAAAGGAAATATTAAAAATAGGAATAAATATTTAGATTTCAACCTGTTAAAAACCGTATATTCCAGTGTAACTGGTTTCTGATAGATTGAAATTTTAATACTTATTCCTGTTCCTAATATTTCTTCCATTATGTTCTGCTCTTATTATAAAAAATATCAAATGAAATGCGAAATTAATTATGCTTACATAATAAAAGAAATGATAATCTTCCATAATTATGTGACTTATTAATTATTATGTAATACATTATGTATTATTATTATTTAATGTAATTTTAAATGCAAAGATCACGGACATTATTTTATCGTAAATTAATAAAATCGTTAGGTACATTGCAAGTTTAACATCGATCATGCGTTATGATATCTATATATTTTTCATTCGAGTCAAAAAGTTAATTTTTTATTGTTGCACTGGACTGCGTCAAAACTTTTCTTTTCGCTTGAATGAATCATTTCCAACATAAAATGTTTTTTTATTGTGTAACGTATTCATCTTGAGTTAAATTAATACAAAGATTTTGGTGGACCATTTGAATAAAATGTATTAACATAAGTTTTCCAATTGTGTATTGGCGGAACTGAAAAGGATCTCAAAATCAGAGATCGAAACCGATATTGAAATTTGCAGTCAATTATAAGTATAATTATTTGCACTTAAAAATTTGATTAGTCATTTGCGAAACTTGCACCATGGTCATCGTTTTATAACTATAATCGCTTGAAGTTTCGATCGCGTTGCAGTGTAACGTGGTAATTAAGTCGAGCAATATTCCGAAAAGCTGTAGTTCGTTATGGCGCGATTAATTATTAAATATCTTCTAGGCATACACACACAGAATGCAACACTCGCTGGCAGTTATTAGTTATGAATTGCGATCTACTTTCACAATTAATATCTCTGTATGTTCGCACATGGCCAAGTATTCTGCTATAACAGATGGAACGTGAAAACTAACGGCTGTCGGGAAGATGGAAAAAATGAATAATCCATTTGCGTCAATTATTCGCTGTTACATGTCAAAGTGTTCTAATTCCTTAATGACAGACTTTTCTCCCTATGTTGCGTGAGAATATGAAAAATTATATTGTTAATAAGTCACTTTTATTCCAAAAATAAAATTGAATAGAGAGAAGTTTACTCGTAAGACAATAGAAAATAATTTAAATAATTAATTAAATAATTAATTTACAAGGTTTCTGTTTTTAATACCTGAATAGTGATTTTTATATATATTTTTAGCTACTGAAAATGAATATAAGATTATAAAAGTTCCGTCATAGATTTTGAGAAATCAAGGATTCTATTTTTTAACAAACTGTACAAATAGAAACAATATATAATTTTTTTCTTTTATTTTATAGAATAAAGTACATAAAAATCTCTATTTTATAGGTACTAAGAAATTGAAAATTTGAACGAGAGAAGTCAATGTGATTTTTTAATATTAAAATAACTTTAACTGCAGTTAAAGTTATTTAATTTTTATTAAATCAATAACTTCGACTGTTATTTAGTTCTAATAATTTAAATTTATAATAAACAGTTAAGATCGTAGCTTTACAGTGAAAATAATTTTTTAAATTTGTAATAAATAGACTATTAGGCTTGTAGTTCTTTATTTATTTATTTGATTTTTATCTTAATTAGTCCCTGTACTACACAGTTAAAGAGAAACTCTTTACTCTTCTATAAACAAATATAGAGCAAAAATAAATTAGAATATTAAAAATACGAAACGTTTTACGTAATATTAATGAAAGAGATCTTTAAAGGATATTGATTTCGCAACGTATATTTTAAAAAGTGAGACATCTCACTTACATGCTTAATGCATGTCTTACCTTGCATAATTATACTGGGAAGACGTGCGCAATTACATGGTTGTTCTGCCAGAATATGAGAAGATAAAATGATACGCTATCTGTTGCAAATGAGAATCTCGCTGACGATAATTATGTGGAAACTTTCAATCATTCGAACCGCTATAAGCTTCGCAAAATAAAATTTCTTCAGCTGAACTAACCAGAATAATCTATAAAAAACGTTGTAAAAATATCTATTATAAAAAGTCCGATTTCTCTCAAACATTTTTAGACTTTAAATTATATTTAAAAACATTTTAAATTTAAATAAACAAAGTTATAGGAGATTGCTTTATGTTTTATTCATTTAATATCGAGTTAATTTACTTTTAAAAATCGAATTCCTTCTTATAATGTAAAATCGAAAGAAAGAGTTTAATTTCACATCACAAAATAAAATGAGACTTTTTTTTATAATTTCATGTCACTTTTCAGTAATTAAATTGTTAATAGATACATAAACTCAATCTTTAATAATTAAAAAAAAAATTTGATTTGGAAAAATTTAAAAACCGCTTAAAGTTAATTAATGACTAGTCTGTAATTCGAAATATTTTTATAAGAAGCTATCATTATTCTATTAAAAAAATCGAAATTGACGCATCCTATTACGATCGAAAAATATCGGTATTGTACATCCGAAAGTAATTCTGTATCTCCGCGAGGGTTCAATTCCTCATGGGTAATTCCTCGTAAACGATGCCTAATCTCGAGTTCTCATCAACGAACACCGCTTCACTCTTCACTGTCTGTACAAAAACGTAAAAGACGTCTGCTTTGCCGCTTTCCGTCATGTAATTAATCCGGACGTAGTTGTCTCTGTAGCCGCCCTTCACCACGCTCACGTGGCCTTGCTGGTAGACGGACGCGGCGATCACGCAATTGATGAGCTTGCCCGGTCGAGCTCTGTAGTACATCTCTGCTCTACTGCTCACCGGGGAGTATGACTCGTGGCTCTCCAGCTGGATAATTCGAGACGTCACTTCATCCTCGGTAAACTCATCGCCCTGCATCAGCCACGTAGCTCTACGGAAAGAAGCTCGCGTCTGCGAAGTTCTGGAAAGCGCGCAGGCTGACGACAATTGCAGTCGAGTTTCACAAAAGCCGTTATGAGGCAAGAAACTTCCTTTCTTCGGAGTGAGAAGATATCAGAGAGAATTTTGCGTCATTTAATTCCAACGTTAAATCACGAACTATGGGGTGGATCAAAAGATTTCGAAAGAGCTCTGATCAAATGAAAAACGGAGATTACTTTCTTTTTCGCGCTCATTGGAGTGAGTAGAAGCTATGATAGCATATTGGAGCATGTTGGATCATGCGACGCGAACGACAAACCTTTTGATGCATAAACAAGCATCATAGCCTTCTTCTGACAAATCAGTCATGAAATATTATTAACATTTAAATATGAAACATCATTTTTTCTATGAGCATAAAATATTCTTTTTTCTTTCTTCGGAAAAAATCTGATTAACTTCAAAAAGTATCACCATAAAATCATATCGCAATGTAAAACATATGCGTATGTTACACAAAGGATAACTCCACAATAAGACATATTTTCTTTAAAATTTATGTCGAAAGCCACGAAATCTCTTTAGCTTTCAGCGTTAATAGAAAAATAACATTTCTTTCTTGAAATAAATGTACTCACGGTTCGCTTAGTGCAGAATTAAAAATGTAACAGAAGATTAGAAGGTAAATGCGCGTCATCGTTAGTAATTGTTGATGTGCAAAAAGAGATTCTGAAGATAGCTGCCAGTTGATATTAACTTGCTGATGTGGATTGCGTCTGTTGTGACACTGTTCAGTGTTTTTGGCCCGATATCATTATCGCGCGCGCGATGATCGTCTTTCTGAGCTAGACAGTAGTGGAGCGTGCACTAAAATTAACAAAGAGGGCACAGTAATAGACTCTGATGTGGACTGCTGTTATGATGATCCCTCCTCTTCGTCTTCTATTACGCGTCGTTTACGAGTTTGTAATTCTTTTCACGTGTTTACTATCCATTAAAAATACTATACATTCGTTAGCAAATATAATCCAAAGACGCTGTTTGTGCAAACTTTGATCTGAAATTAATTTTACGTAAAGTTTAAGTAAAAATTGCATATTTACAGTTAATTATTATTGTTGTATAAGAACTCAATTTTATTCAGTCGAAGCTCTGGTTTTTCTTATGAGGATAAATAAAAATCGCCGATACTGATATAGGTCTCTTAAAGAGATACCCCCTTATTCCTCGAAAATTAACTATTGCACTTCTTATTAAGGAAAAAGATACATACTTAGGTTTTATTGTATAAAAATTGAAGATAGTACCACTTGGATTATATTCTTTATTTAATTTGGTATGGGATTTAACTTGGCGCCAGTTGTTGATATTAAATCTTTTATACAAATAATACATATCATTAGAGTTAGGTAAATAATAAAGGTATTACTTAGGTTTTATAATTTGGTACAATAGTTTCTTTTCAAGGAGTACGTACTCTTTCTTTACCTTTTCTTTAAAACATAAGTTTTTTCTGTATACCAATTTATTCACCTTATTCTGTACATATTACGATATAATTCTTGTTAAATGGGTGAACTTGAATTTCATGAACCTGATCACGAACCTGATCACGAACGAGAACTACATCCATCCCATCGACCTCCGGCTACCACGGCGATGGTATTGCGGTATTGTTCTTCTTTAAAACTAAAGTGACTGACAATGATTGCCATTTGCCTTTTGCGTGCGAGCCGGTGCATTCGTTGTTCTTAGTTCGAACAGCAAGTATTTGAAACATTAACAAACAAGAAGCGAAAGATAGTGATTTTCATAATTAAAGATTATCATCATGTACATTGGTGTATGACGTGCCGTAAGTTGAGAAAATTTCGTTGTGACTTGATCAATTAATCAATTTCATATTCTTAATATAAATCAAAGGTGAGCAATGTAATCCTCAGGATTAAAACACCCAAAAAAATCTACGACGCTTTTATACTTTAATTTCAAGCACAATATAAAAAATTAAAGAAATTAGTTTTCAAAAGTCAAGAAATAAAAAACATGATCTTTATAATTAAAAATTTATTTATTTAATTTTATTGTATAATTATGACTGTGTTCGAGGAACGCGCCATCAGTGTTTTTGTATATATATCATTTTATCTTTATCGCATTCACATTTGACGTCAATCAAAGATAAAATGATACAATAACGCTGATAGTGCGCTGACCGAATGCAGCTAACATTATAAGATTAAAAGATGGAAGATCGTACTCTAAATTGGAAATAGAAGAAGAAAGATTGTATTCTAGAGCATAAAATGCATGACAAATTAATTTTACACTTTCTCGAATTTTTCGTATAAATCTTAACTGAGCAATGATTTTTGAGTTTAATTTTTCCAAAAAACCGCAAATTCCTTCAAAGTACGCTTGCTGTAGCATTCTTTAAGCATCAAGAATTCATTACAACAAACGTTCTGTTTTACGCGACGCAAATCGGTGATTATCAATCTTGTGTCATTTTTAATACGGTACTCCGATCTCGAATCGTCGGTCACGATCGATGAATGCGTGACATCCGGTGCGACCCATCAAACACGAAGAATTCATCAGTATGGTGGCTGAGCTAGCTAGCATTTCCACGGCGACGGTCGACGGAAAATCATCGGACCTTGGCAGCACCTCGAAACATCACAAACGACCTAAATGGATTCAAACAGCGACGCGTGAGTCGATCTATAGCGTTCTGGACAGTAACGAGAATATCACAACGAAAAGTTTTCCTTCGGGTGTCCACGGCAAGATCGTACTGATCAGTGCGGTGAAGGACGAACTGAATCACAAGTTAGAAAACGAGCAACGAGAATTACCGTACGTCAGGTTATCAACTCAAAATAAAACGTCGTCGATTCTTGAGGTCGAGGATGAGAACACTCTTTATAGTGTGGTAAGAAAACCGAAGAAAGTGCGGTTGCTAGAAACGTCCTCCGAAGCGAACGAAGAGGTGATTCAATCTATAGATAAGATTCGCGACATCGATCCCAACGAAAGGCTCGAGCAGCAGCAACTGGACCATAAAGACGTGTCCAGGCGAGTCGAAGTGAGAAAGTGGCTCTTCGACACGCCTAAACAGTCCCTTTCGGATCCGTTGGAAATGTATTTCGATCATTCTGGGTATGAAAGTACCTGGCCTGATCAGGAGAACTTGGTAGCATTGCCTCGAGGAGTGGTAGGCCTCGTGGGTCCCTATAGGATATATAGAAACCCTAATGAGAGGAGAGAATATATGCTGCAAGAGGAAGAACTTGTTGAAGAGGTAATGAGTTCCGACAGTAAAAATGTACAAGAAGAAGAGAACAAGGACGAGCATCGTCAGAGGGCGAAATGGAAAATCAGGGAAGACGACGAGGAGACCTTAGTACCTGATATCCGAAACCTGTCCGGTTTCATGGAAACGAAGACGGATATCGCCAAGATGGAGAATAATGATTGGAAGAACGAACGAGAATCGGTGACGAAAGTGAATAAGTCGGATTGTGTCGAAGGGATTCTATTTGGTAAAGAAGAATGCGCGGTGGATGTACCGGATACGGTATCTGCAATCTCGACAACGTCGATGAAGGAGAAATGGGGTGAGAAAATCTCTTACAACAATTTCGCGCGATATTTGCAAATTTTAATAATTTTATGAATATTGAATTACTTATTGCTAAGCAATTAAAATAGAAATACTCGTACAAATAAATAATATTAATTAAAATAATACACAAATAAGTGAAGAACGCTATATTCAAAAAATAGAATTTAGTACTTAAAAAGATAAATTAAAATTGTAAAATTTCCTAGCTCGAGATTGCCAAGCAAAAAATCAATAAATAAAAAGGTCAAGAACACGAATCAACAATAATGTTAAAATATATTGAATGTACACATCGATATTGTAACTTTTTTTTATACACTGAGAGAAAACAAAATAGTTCCAGCAATTATAAATTTGGCAACTTTTGCAATTGAAGTACCTGTAACTAGTTTTACAAAGTAATAGAAACTAAAGAAGTGCTGAATATTATAAAAATATAGTCACGGTAACAAATTGTATGCACTATTAATTGGTAGTGAAGTAGTGACTCAACTACATTGAGTAGTTACTTGGACTTCATGCATATAGATATAACAATTACATTTTTCTAGTTTAGACAAAAATTTTTAAAGTATAGTACGAGTAGTACGCGGCTTTGTCACCAGAGGGACGTAGCGGAATTCAGTTTCTCCTAAGAAGGAAACCACTCAGCTTACAATAAAAGTTGGTTTCAAACTTGGAAGACAAAAATAAATAAGAAATGCATACACAAATTTGTAACTATGTATTATAAAGCTTTAATAAGAACAATAATTAAATTAAGTGAACTAAGAAAATATAGTAATATTAACCATTTATAAATTGTTTATATGGTTAACGTACTATATTTTCTTAGTTCACTTAATCTAGTATTCTAGACTTTTTTCTCTGAGTGTACTTTTGTTATTGCGGATTATGGATTCTCTTATTCACTTGTTAAACGTCGTGGAAATAAATAGATAAATAGATAAGTGAATTGACAGCTGCTTTCTTCTTTTCTATCGCAGCTCTTACTTGTAAATTACAATCAGGTGCGTATAAAACGCTGCGAAATTACAAAGTGGTCGGCTTAGACGATAACGGCGTGTAATTCGGCAAAGTAGGTATGTCGTCCACATTCGGTATGCAAGGCGACACGCATCTTACGGTATTGTCCGAACAAAATGGACTCGAGTAGCGGTAGATAGTACCAGGTATGCATACACATCGGCCTCTTGATACGTGTGGTTCATGACTTCATGAACCAACGATTAGGTCAACATTCGATTAGAACTGCATTTCTATACACTTGTCTATCGTGCCTGTCTTGTTCGAACAACGGTGAATTGTCTTGCTAGATTCTAAAATTAGATTCTACGGGATGAGGGACTCGAACCTTCAGCAGTTCAAGAGAAGATAAACAGGATAGCAATGCTCTGTTTCAGCAACGTGCTCAAGACATTAAAGAGTTTCAACGATTCTTTTTTTTTTTTTAGAGAAATCTTAATGGATTTTTTAATAGTAAAGAAATAGATTCTCTGCGTATACACTTTAATTTTTTTAATTACTCATTTGAAACATTAGATATGGAAAAATATGGAAGATTAACATAAAAAACATATAACTGGAAAGATATAACTCGGAATTTTCGTATACTTCTCAACGTACGTTTCGAAGGATTATGGCTGAGTCATTCTTGATCCGTACTCTATAATCAAAAAGTTTTACATTGTTCCGCATATAAATGTAGCACAGCAGTAAAAAAAAGTAGCAGTTTTTAAGTTTTAGATCTTCTACGATGTAAAGCAATCGGAATATTATTTATTTTTCTTTTTGTAAAAGCTCACATATTAAATCGTTATTAAATCTAGTATCCCGTGACGTTAAAAAATTAATTAATGACATTGGCGATTTTTTGTATTCTTCAAGTATTTCATTATTCGAGAGTTAAAATGAGTATTCACGCGCAGCTTTCTAGTCAAGTACAGTTTGTTCTTGCTTTCTTTCGAAAGACCTCTCATTAAATGGTTCGATGTGATACACTCTTCGGCACAGCCGCCGTAAAACAACTGCAGCAGCATATATCACATGAATCGAGAACCGCTCACGACTTTCACCATTTTTACGATTTTTACACACCTTTTACCATCCACTTTACGATTGGCATTTTACGATCAGTGTCATCGGGCTTTCATTATCGCGGCTCTTATTTTTATTCGCACCCGTCTCGCTGTTTGTTTCCTGTAAGTTGACCGGTCGAAAGTTTATCTTCATGCGAACGCTCGCGTTATATCTCCTTGGAGCGATGCCTTGCATTCGAGCGGATGTGGATTTGCATCGAGGAAATTAGAAAGCATGCATAGCAAGCGTACATGAGTTATTCCATTGAAATTAACGGGAATACGAAATACGTGATATAACCGCTCCAGGCTCCATTGTCTTCTCTGTAATTCTTCAACGATTCCAGAGGCGTAAAAATTGAGTGTGAGCAGGAAAAAAGATCTATTATCATTGCACATAATTTTTGAGGTCATTCTACTGTGCCATGAATCGTTTTCTCCTCCGTGTGTCGCAGAGAGAAAAACTTCACTTTGATAACATACGATCGATGCGAGCATGAAAAGTGGAGGAATGAGATAATTTTGAATAATGTGTAATATAATCTTACGTAATAATTTAAAAAGAATTATGCTCGAAAAAAAAATTCTTGCATTCGGCATTTCGTAAATTCATTTGCAATAGTGACATAAAAAATGACATAGAAATATATCAAACGATAATAAGTATTTTATTCGATTTAAATTTTTAATTGAAAACCAAACTTTGTCGACAGCTATCAACTAAGTGCAAAATAATATAAAGTTTAATGCGAATCCTCGTATTATTTTCCGCGAAAATATTAATACTTTTAAAAATAAAAATACATGATTACGTAATTATAACTCTAGACCACTCTGCAGATATTAGAAATAACTAATTAGATACTTATCAAGTGCTCGACCGCTCATTAATTACCACACTTGAGTTTATACGCTGCAATCCTTTCACTAGCGGAAAGTCGATGAAAAGTGATAAGAGAATAGGGGATCTTGTTACAGACAAATTAGCTAATTATCTCGAGATTAAACGTATATGTGGAAGAAACGGATGGGATACTCGAGCACTTCCTCTCCGGCTGCTGTAACT